TGCACACAGGGACACAGACAAGGAGGCTGGCTCACTGCAGCATTATTTTAGAAATCTAGAAAAACTGGAAACAATTTAAATATCCATCAAAACAACTTGCTGGAATAATTGTAGCTAATTCAGACCATACACACTATTAAGCAAAGGTTCTTCAAACTTTTTTTTTTTTTTTTTTTACTACTAAGGGCTGTATGAAATATATTTTACACTATGAACCAGCTGTGGCAGATTGTACTTTCTGAGAAGGTTTTAATAAAATGTCTCAACCTGGTTGTTACCTAAGGAGTTCTGGTGACACAGTGGTTAAGACATTCGGCTGCTAACCAAAAGTTTGGCAGTTCAAACCTACCAGTCACTCCATAGGAGAAAGATGAGGCAGTCTCTTTCCATAAAGATTTATAGCCTGGGAAATCCTATGGGGCAATTCTACTCTGTCCTATAGGATCACTATGAGTAGGAATTGACTTGATGGCAGTGTTTTGTTTGTTTTTTTAATGTGATCTTGACATTCCTCTCACTGAAAGATGAGGTCTTTGTCCTCTCCCCTCGAACCTGGGCAACCAATAGAATATACAGTGCAAATGACACTGTGGGACTTTCTCCCAGGCTTGGTCATAAAAATGCTGCCATGCTGTGATGAAGCCCAATCTAGACCACTGTGTAGCTGATCCAGCCGACAGCCTGGCCAAAGCCCCAGCCAGCATCAACCATCAGACAGCCATGTATGAAAATGCCTCCTGATGATCCTGGCCCAGATGTCATGTCACCCCACTCTTCCGTTCTTCCTCGCTGGAGCAGCAAACACCATGGAGTAGAAACAAGCTAGTCCCACTGTATCCTGTGCAAATCCTGATCCATGAACAGAATATAATGGTTGTTTGGGGAAGATCTGTTAGCCATAATTGTGACTGGAACTGCAGTATATACACACATGCACAAGTGCTAGAAATAAAAGTCTCACAGAGTCATAGTCACCCTGATCAGAGTGATACAATGTGATATTTTTATTCTCTTCTATCTTATTTCATTAAAAAATAAATGCTGGTTATAACCCATATCATTGATTTCCTGAACCAATAATGGGCTGCAACTCACAATGTGAAAAATACAGCTACAACTCAGGCATAATAAATCTACAGGGGTCCACATGGAGACACCTGGAAAGCAGGAAGTCCAGTGAGCAAAGCAAGTTGCAAATTAATATATGCAAGATACCATTTATGTAATGTAAACTGGTTTTACAACTACATACATACATACATATATATGTTACTGTTTCCAGCAACTCAGGATAAAGTGTGAATGCTTAAAGACTGGTCCTGGAAAGATAAGTAATTTTAAAATAATCATCACTCCTGAGAAAGGGTGTCACATGGAAGGGTGACTTCACCCATACTTGAGGATTTAATAGTTTTTGTTGGGTTTTACTAAAAAAAAAAAAAAAAAGATCTGAAGCACATGAGTCAAAATGCTCACTCTGGGTAACGACATAAATACCTGTATTCTTCTTGGGCTTTTTCACTTGGAGTGAGGTGGGCACCACAGAGGGTTCTGAACAGAGGAGGGATGTGACCTGACTCAGGGGTTCATAGGCCCCCTCTGGCTGCTATTGGTGGGATAGGATTGTTGGGGGCTAGGGCCACAGCAGGCAGCTAGGAGGAAGCATTGGGGTCATGCTGAGGGCTTGACTAGGGAAATACTTCATTAACACTGTAAATAAGAACCGGTACCAGGATAAAAAAGAAGCTGATACTCGTGGTGGGGGTTGGGGTCTCAGATTGGGAATTGGATTGGAGACTGGTAGGAGTGAGACTTATCACCACAATTATTTTTATTTCAGTCTTTTAATTTTCGTTTTTTAAATTGTACAATATAACAAAGCTACCAAAAAATGCCTAATGCATACATATACCATTCCATACAGCTTATAAGCAGGCATCCCTGTAACATTCACCCAGGTGAAAAAATAGTATTAAATATAGCTACGAAGCCATGTCCCCTGTTTGACCACCACCCAGACACCATTCACTTCTGTTCCCCTGTCCCCACTAGAGGTGCCCCTCTTGCCTTGCTGTTCTTTACCCTTTGCCACTTCAGATGTACATCTGTAACAGCAGGATTTTAAAATTTTATATAAAAGGGACCATTTGTATAAACTTTACACAATGAAATAATTGTCGTGAACCTTTACAAAAAGGAAGCGGTTGGGTCCTGCTTTCTTGGTTCCACGTCTGTGAGAATTATCCATGTGGCTGTGTGCAGCTATAATTTCTGCTCTTCCATTCCCATGTAGTATCCCAGGGGGGGAAACATCACAATTTATAATAAAATATTTACATAAATATCTGAAATATTTACATACAATTTTAAATAAACCAGAAACTTAAACACATATGTTTAAGTGAAGTTATAAACAGTTATTTAAACAAAAATGTTAATTAAGGTATTAAAGTCAAATTTAAAATTATAAAACATTCAATTCAATGTTATACTCAAAACCAACCAAACCCACTGCTATGGAGTCGATTCCATAGAGACCCTAAAGGATAGAGTAGAACTTCCCCTAGGGTTTCCAAGGTTGTCTTTAAGGAAGCAGATTGGCACATCTTTCTTTTGCTGAGCGCTGAGGGGCTGGTGAATTCAAACTGCCGCCCAAATCTTCTTTAACTACTGCACAATCAAGGCTCTTTTCAATGTTATAAATGATATTTAAATATCATTTAATAAGTTTTTAAAGTAAAATTTAAATATTTAAATGAAAACATAAAGTAATACGTAGACGGTATTAAAAATTGAAATACTGAAATACTTAAAGCTTTAAATGATTGCTCAAATAAAAATGTAAATATTTAAACGCTATTAAAAATCGTATATTAATAACATTAATTATTAATAAAATTTAAAATAGATAAAATTATTAATATAATTAAATACGATTTTTAATAGCCAGTTAAACTTTGCAAATGTATAAAATACAGAATATAACCCTCTTCTCCCTCCCTCCCCTCAACCAAGGTAGCAAAGCCTCTCTCCCAAAACCCCTGAAGTCTCCATCTGCCCTTGCGCTCAGGCAGCGTTTTGGCCAGCCCGGCCGGCCCGCTAGGACCCTGCGTACTAAGATGGCGGTGCCCGTGCAGCCGGCGCGCGGCCTCCTCCGGCTGGGGACGACCCTCAGTCCGAACTCCCGTGGTTATCGGGCACCGCCACCCCCTCGCCGCTCGCCGGGACCCTGGTGGCCGGACCCGGAGGACCCGTTGACCCCGCGCTGGCAGCTGGGGCCGCGGTACGCGGCCAAGCAGTTCGCACGGCACGGCGCCGCCTCCGGGGTGGCCGCGGATTTACTGTGGCCGTCGCCGAAGCAGCTGCGCGAGCTGGAGGCTGAGGAGCGCGAATGGTGCCCCAGCCTAGCGGCCATGCAAGAGTCGCTGCGGGTGCAGCGGCTGGCCGAGGAGCAGAAGCGTCAGGCCAGGTGTGTGTGCGTTGGGTCGTCCTCCGCGCCCCTGTGGGTGACGTAGACCCCAAAAGGTGCCTGGTGGATCAGGTATCTATTGCAGTCTGCATGCTGTAGATTTACGTGTATGCTCTGGTAGTCGCCAGACAGACCCCTCGTTGTTCATTCACCAACAGATCTTTACTGATCGCATACCGTGGGGGAGGTCCTGTACCGGGCGTAGAGGACACACGGAACAGATGGCGACAGAGAACCGTCAGGAAGATAAAACAGGGTGAAAGAGTGAATTGGGGAGGGCAAGTTGGGTTTAAGAAGGCTGTGTGGTGCATACAGTTAAGTGCTCTGCTACTCGCCCAAAGATTGGTGATTTGAACTCACCCAGGGGAGCCTGGGAAGACTGGCCTGGCAGTCTGCTTCTGGAAGGTCACAGGCTCTGTAAGCCTGTGGACATAAGCCTGTGGAGCAGTTCTACTCGCACACACGTCACCATGTGCCATAGTTGACTGAATCACAACTTACAATTTGGGTTTGGCAGGCCTCAGACCTGAGGTGGCATTTAAGAGCTCTAAATGCCAGAGGCAGTCATGGGGAGATCTCAGGAGAGTTCCCAGTGGAGGGCAATCTGTGCAAAGGTCCTGAGGTAGGAACATCCCTAAAGAACAGCCAAGAGACCATTTTGACTCTGGGGGAGTAAATCTCCTCCTAGGAGGAGATGAAGACCAGAGGATAAAGGGGGCAGGTCCTGCAGGACTTTGTGGGTTGAAAGGGGGGGGGACAGGATGGACACAAGACGGAGACGACGACTAGGGATTTTTAATTCGGGCTGAGCTGGGAGCCATGAAGGCTTCTGAGCACAAGAGGGATGTGATCTGACTCAGATGTTCACAGGTCCCTTTAAGCTGCTGTGGTGGGACATGATTGTTAGGGGCTAGTTGGGCAATCTACTTCTGTAGTGATACAGCCTTGGAAACCCAAGGAGGGGTTGCCGAATCCGGTCCGACTTGAAGGCACATAACAACAAAGAGCCTCAGGAGGAAGCTGCTGGAGTCATGTTGCTGGCCTGGAGTTATGGGTAGAGGACAGATTTGGGAAGTGTTTTGGAGGCAGGTCTGAAGGAGTGGACTTGAAGACCAGGGTCATCTGGGCAGTGCCACTTTCAGTGGGGATAGGCAGCTGGCATAGGCCAGATTGGAGGAACAGGTCAAACGTCCTGGTTTTTAACATTCTCATCCTCACAAGTCTAAAACGGAGGATCACCCTCATTTTGGAGTTGAAGAAACACGTAGAATCTCTTGTCCAGGGTCACCTAGGCAGTGAATGGTGGAGCTGGGATGTGAACCCAGCCGTCATCTCTGCCCCTCCCCAGCTGCATGACCCTGGCTTTAGTTCTTTCAGAATCACTTTTCTGATCCTTAAAACGGACCGTCACTGTTACCTCCTACCTCAAAGGGTTGGAGCATATCATCTCCTGCTTTCACATTTGTATCTCAAACAGTAGACACTCAATGATGACTGCTGAATAAAGCTTATCTGTGGGAATGGTCTGCTAGGATGGGTCAGTGAATGCTGGGCTGACATGGGGTGGCCCACTCACAACCTTGAGGCTACACAGCATTAGTTCCTCTCTGCCTGTTTTCTTCACTTGTCAAAGCCCTTTCTGATAGCTAATCACAGTAAGTAGTCTGTTCCTATTTTTCATCTACCCAAAGCCTGGACGTCGATATGGGTGGTTGAGTTGTGCTCTATCTAGCTAGGTAGGGGGTACCCACACCACCCACCTTCCTTCTCCCACAGGGAGCAGCTCATTGCAGAGCGCATGGCCAAGATGCCACAGATGATTGAGGACTGGCGGCGGCAGCAGCAGGAGCGCTGGGAGAAGGCACAGGCAGACAAGGAGCGGCGGGCACGGCTGCAGGCTGAGGCCCAGGAGCGCCTAGGCTACCACGTGGACCCGCGGAGCGCTCGCTTCCAGGAGCTGTTGCAGGACCTGGAGAAGCAGCAACGCAAGCGCCTCAAGGAGGAAAAACAAAGGCAGAAGAAGGCACGAGCTGCTGCAATGGCCACTGCTGCCACCCAGGACCCTGTTACCTCTGAGGCACCTAGCTCCTGAAGAGGCTGTGTCCTTTCCCAATAAAGTCTGCTGCCTCGAAGGCCCCCAGGAGAGTTCCCTGCTACATCCTCCTTCTGGGTGCCCTTTCCTGGGCCCCCTGGTTCCTTCCCCAATACCACCTGGGGCCAGGGAATCCTTCTCCCAGCTCTGCTCATAGGGACGGACAGGGACTGTAGACCATGCTGACTCACTGGGGCTAGAGGGGAAGAAAAAGGGATGCAATGGGGAAATAATGGAGGAGCAGATGGCAAAGGAGAGGAAGGCTTCTGTTTACCAACATTAATCTCCAGTAATTAGCCAATTATGGGGGTGGGGAGGAGCAGCCAAAACAGACTGGTGGTGATAGAGGGGGTTGGGGAGAAGTAGCCCTTCCAAAGCTGAGCTGGGGCCCATTGCTGGGGCATCAGACAGCTTCAAAGGGAGGAGACACTGGGAGCTCCGTTCTGCAGAGCTCCCAGGCCCTCCACCCTTTTCTGTCTTCACATTGCCTGTACCCCAGTCCCAGAGAAGCTGGAGTGGGAAGTCCCAGCAGGCACAGACCACAGGGCTAGTCTTTAAAATTTTATTCACTTCAAAACCTTTATCACAGAGACTCAGCTCTGTGGTTTGTTTTTTTTGGGGGTGGGGGGTGCATAGCCTCAGCCTCCACAGTGCCTCTGATGTTTCCCCTTTCTTAGGACAAACTGCCTCCTCCACCAAAGGGCTATAGACTGGAGAGTAACCCAAGGCCTGATATGGGGGGGTGGGCGGGCTTAGGCACCTGAGTACTTGCCCCAGGTGGAATGATCTGGGCTACTCCAATGAAGGATCAAAGTTGGGGTTCCAGCTTCCCCTTAGCCTGGAAGTCGGGCAGGGAGAGGTCTCGGGGGTTCTGGGGGATGGGAAGGCAAGCAGCCACCTCTCCATCTGGCTGCAGGGCACTGGGACAGAGGCCAAGAGGGGCCCATCTGTTGCCTCCCAGTCCTGTCAGCTCCATCCAGCAGGCTGGGCTGGGGGGTTGGAGGACAGCTGTCTAGCCCTGGTCTTCTCAGGCCAAGTGGGGACACTTTCGGAGAGCAGAATTTTTTTTAAAGGTTTTTGATTTTTTTCCACTTCTTAAATAAACATGAATATATATATATATATATATTTTTCTTTTTTCTTTTATAAAACTTTTGCAGAATGGGGGTGAGGTGGGATGGTGGGCAGCCTGGTTTCCCCGCATCACTCGTCGTCAAAGTTCTGACTCAGGAGAAAGTTGGCAGCCAAGTTCTCATTTTTTTCACAGGCGAAGTAGGCCTGGATTACCAGACTCTCTGGAAAGCCAAGGGCCTTCAACTGTAGGAAGATGGGCAGGTGTGAGGGGGACAGGCCCCACCCACCAGTAGGGTACCCCTCAGCCAGGCCTCTTACCCTCTCTATGGCTTCTTTCTCCTGCGGTGTCACCTGGATGTAGTTCATCTGGGGAGCCTCCTCACCTATGGCACCCACCTCACCCTCCACATCTGAGATGTCCGCCAGCTCCCCGGGGGGCTCATTCAACATCTGGATGAACTGCTCCTGGTGCCGGCTAATTTGCTGAAGGAGAGGAAAGGGAGCGTGTGGCATGTAACCTCCAGCCCAGGTCCTCATCACAGCTTTTTCATTCACGTGTATTTAGGGAGTGCCTATGGCCAAACACTAGCAACACAGATGGGCGCATGGACCCTGTCCTGGTGGAACTGATGATTCAGGGCCACAACCAAGTAAATGGGCCAATCACAGAGCCACTGAGAACTGGAGATGGGATCAGGTACCAGAGGGGGCGGGAGATGTTTCCTCCAGGCAAAGCTAACAGCCAAGTACAAAGGCCTGGAGGTGGGGGTGCAGTTGGCAAATCCCAGCAACAAGACCCAGATGGCAGGACAAAGGGAAAGGGGAAGAGGCAGAAGCCAGACTCAACTCATTCTGCTCAATGAGAGCAATGTGTGTGGTGATTAAATGAGAAAAGACCTTTCAGAAAAAATGAACGCATCCGGGTGTTGGTACCTGGGGTTCTGACACAATTCTACTTTTGTGTACATTTAACAATTTTCACATTAAGGGAAAAGGTGCTTTTTAAATTATCTGGCTCCTGTGGAGAGCTTTGCAGAAACAGACCTGAGAGGGTACTAGCTAGGGTCTAGATGAGGAGGGGCAGCCATGGAGACAGAGTGTGGGGTGGGCTGAGCACGATGCTCTGGAAGCAGACTGGACAGGACGGGATGGACTGACCGCAGGAGGCACTGGGAACTGGGAGGCCAGAGCAACCTCAGCACAACTTGGGGGCAAGGGGGTGGTGCCCAGCGTGTGCGTCTGTGTCCTGTGTCGGTGGTTCTGGTAAAGTCTGAAACGACTAGAGAGCACTTTCGTGGAGGCATCAAATCAACTATGACGAATGTGGCATTCCACAGAAGTCCGGGCTGGTTACGCTATCTGTTGGTCCACACAGACTGAAAGCCTCAGGAAACCATGAGTGGAGAACAGTGCAAGTTAAGGGCAGAGGTGTGCAGCATCTAGAGGGCCAAGAGCAAGAAAAACTGGCACAAGACTGAGATGTGGGAAAAAGAGCCACCTGCAGGGTCCTGAACCAGAAGCCCTGGGAGAAACCTGTCCCTCTCTTCCAGCTTCTTCAGGACCCTTTTCTAGGATGTCACCTGCCCCTCTGCCTGGTTAAGCACAATGGCCCCAGAGACAGCTAGGGCACAGCTGTCCTGGGTGCTACCATGCAATCCTACAAACATTTATGAAGCACCAACTGTGCACAGAGCCAAAGAGGCAGAAGTCAAAACACAGGACCCAGAGGCTGGAAGCACACACTTCACCAGCTTTGAGATTCTGGGCACCCGACAGCCTGGCCAAGCCTCTCCGACAGCCTGGCCAAGCCTCTAGTATCTTCCTGGGATGGGGATTCAGATGACTATGCAGGAAGTTGGGAGTGTTACGAGACCGTGTAGGTCAACAGGCCACAGGGAGCACAGAGAAGCTGTCATTAGTACAGCTACTCCTACATACTATGCTGAGACAAGCTTCGTCCATAGGGCTGTGATGCCCCCCCACACACACAAAAAAAAACCACCATGAGACAGTGCAGTGCCTGGCCCGGCTTCCCCCACTCCCAGGGCCGCACCTGCAAAAGCTGAGGGTTCTCCTGGCCCAGCTGCTGGAGCAGGGCAGGCAGCAGTGCTGGGTTCTGCTGAATCACCTGCCGCATGTTCTGGAACTGGGGCTGGTCCCGCAGGAACTCCAGGGGATTCTCTCCTGCTGGCAGCAGGAGGGAATGCGGTCAGACACCATGCTGGACTACCAGGGACATGGGGGCAGGGGAGGGTTCATATGCCCTAAGAGCAGATACTCCCTGTGCACACCGCCCAACCTGCTCACCTGCTTCTGTGACCGGCTGCTCGGATACCTGGCTCTCCTGGATGGAGCCGTGCTCTGGCTCAGGGCTCCCAGGAATTCCCTGTCAAGGGTCCATTTCAGCGTTAACACAGAGACCTTCACCTACCCCCAGGTTTCATGTCCAGCCCTGGCGGGAGACCCTCCCTTTCCCAGGTCCATCCCCAACTCATGTCCTGCCTCCTGTAGGAAGCTTTTCCTGGCTAGAACCACAACCCAAAATCTTCTGGGGGCAGGTTTGGTCTCCCTGACTAAACGCTAGGGCAGTAAGCCCCACGGATGCCCTCCAAAGCCTCCCCAGGGAGGCAGCAGCCCCACCTCACCGTCAGCAGATACTCCACAGCGCGGTGGGGGTTGTTGTAGCTAGCTCTCAGGGCAGCCACAACCCGCTCCCGCTCGTAGCCCATGGACATGATCTCAGTCAGCATTGATTCATACTCAGAGCCAGTCACTGTGCAGGGAGCAAAGGCCTGCATCACCAGGGGGAGCGAAGGGCAGCATCCAGGCCCTCCCACACCCACACAAGGCCCAGTGGATGGCAGGGGGTGCCCATTCACCTCCACCCAGGGATCACCCACCCACCTAGTGTAGAGGCTGCGTCTTCCTCTCGCCCGCTGCTACCTGAAGAAGGAACAGAGCTGCAAATTCAAGAGAGAGAAATCGTACCCTGGCTTTTGCCGGCTTGCCCTCCTCCTAGGTACGGGAATGTACTAGGACAACAGAACTTAAGGTGAAACTGCCCCCTGCCTTACCCTGACACAGACTCTGGGGACATCGTGGGGACCGATTCCTCCGATGGGCTCTTGTCCTCTCTGGCAGTAGGTGGGGTGTGGGACATGCCTGAGGCAGGGGCTGGTGGGAAGGATGTGGAAGACTCCGGGGCAGCAGTAGGTGAGGTCTCTTGGGGGGCCGAGGTGCCTGGGCCAGCTTTGGCCTGTGGTGGCCAGGAAAAGGGAACAGCGTCAGCACCCCTATCGAGCCCCAACATCCCACTTTGTCGCAGCCCCACCCTGCTCACAGCTAATCTGCCCTGGGCACATGGGCTCTCAGCCAGCTCCACAGCAAATCTCCCCACCCTCCTAGGCAGCACACTTCACCAACCTTGGTCACCATGACCACCACAAAATTCTTCTCGTCTATGCGATAGTCCCTGATGGGGACGTCATCACTCAGGATCTTGCCAGCATAGATGAGTTTCTGTCCAGCCACGGGGAAGGCATCACGACCTTTCTCAGCTTCTATCTTCTCCTTTAATACCTTCACCTGAAGGTAGGGGTACAGAGCCATTGCAAACCCCAAGATTCCCTCTTCTCATCCCGTTTTGGGGTGTGGCCGCAAGTCCTGATGGCAGAAAGGCTAAGCCTTGTAGTCACGTATACTAGATGTGAATCTGTTCAACCATCCTGCCATTGAACAAAGCATTTACTGAGTGCCTACTATGTGCCAGGTGCTGTTTCAGGCAGTGAGGACACAGGAGGGAACAAAACCCAACACAAGTCCCTCCTTTCACGGAGATGACACTAATGTGGGGAGAAGAAAAAACACTTATTTCAGATGGTATAAAACATGAGAAAAAAATAAGACAATAAAGGGAAGACAAGAGTGTCTCCCATTCCATGCTGCTGACCTTGGGCAGTAACAGTGGCAGATATATTCTGATAGCATTCTAAGTTCCTTGTGCTGTTGTCCACGCTATTACACCCCTCAAGTCTTATGAAACCATATGAAATAACTCTCATTAACCTAACTTGAGGTATCAGAAAACTGAAACACATAAAGGTTAAGTAACTTGTTAAAAAACCAGTCTGTTTCCTTTTCTACAAAAAGTGAATTTCAATGTCTCCCTCACACAGTGGTTATGCAAAAAATGCCATATACGCATTAACATACTCAACGTTGGAGATAGGTCCTAAATTCCTTCCACCTAAAAAGACAATCTAGTGTTTAGACCATAAGGTCTCACACTAAGCAGAATGGAATTTGAATCCCAACTCTGTCACTTATTTGTTGTATGTAACTGCAGTAAAAGAGGAAAAGTCAGTTTTCAAGTGACAGGTCCGCTTTGTAGCTCTAATAAGATAAGGTCACCAAACGGCTCAAGCAACTAATAAAGAATAAACGGCCAACAAACACGAACGACTAAAAAAACTATTGCGATTGCGACCATTTATTATCATTATCATCGTCGTCGCTGTTATCACTCAGACATCTGATCCCGGTCACCACTCCCAGATTCAGCCGCCAACGTCCGGAAGGAGCCCCCGTCCTGGAGAGCGCAATCTGGCCGGGAATCCGAGTCTCTGGCTCCCGCGAGAGCGCTGACATTGGAGCCGGGACCTGGCCGGCGCCCCGGGAGTGGGGCCTCGCCCTGAAATCCGCTCGGGAGCGTTGGCCAGCCGCCCGGGGCTGGGTCGGCGACCACGGGGGAGATCCTAGGAAGTCCACTACGTAGGTAGAAGGCAGGGCCCGGCCGGAGCAGCACCGCCCACTCTGCCCCTCTCGCTGGGATCCCGGCCTCCCCGCCCCCACCCTACACCGGCTCTCGTCGCTCCCGCCCCCGGGCCCCAGCCCAGCCCGCACCGTCTCGTCAGGTTCCATGCGAATCTTGAAGGTCTGCTGCTGCAGCGTTTTGAGCGTGATGGTGACCGCCATGGTGGGGCCCCAGCGACGGATCCTGGCCCCGGGATCCTCCACAACATGCAACTCACGCCGCCGCCATCTTAGCATCCAGCCGCGCCGCGCGCCGACCGCTTCCGGGGCAGATGGGGCGCGCAGCGGCCGCCAGCACACGTGACCTACGAGTGCCATTTCCCCGCCCCCACCCGTAGCTTAGCCTTCGTGGGCACTAGCAAATTAAACCCTATCCTGCAGGGTTGGTCGCGCCTTGCCCCGCTCGCCTACTCGTCACGTGGCTTCCTGAAAGTGACGCCATGGCCGGTAGCAGTGATGTCATGCATCCACAAAATGGCCCCAGTGTCCCCGCTTCCACGCCCATGACTTTTAAAATATTTTTAGTGTTTTTGGTGAAATTGAACAAAAGTTTTGATGTATCTATAAGACATCGGTGGGAGCGCTGCTGGCGTAGTGCCTAAGGCGTTTAACTGCTAACCAGAAGGATGGCGGTTCAAACCCACCAGCCACTCCTGGGAAGGAAGGTTGGGCAATGTACTTCTGTAGTGATGTTGTTATGTGCCTTCCAGTCAGACCCGACTCATAGAGACCCCTTCTATGAATCGGATCTGACTGTACAGCAGTGAGTTTGGTCTTTGGTTATAGACATTTGTATTTTTTCCACAAAATCTTCATTCATGGTATTTTACCCTTAAAATTGAGTTTTATATTCTGGGAGCCACTCTGGCCAGCCCTCTGTGGCACTCTGTGGTACTACTCAGGACTGACAGGATACCTACAAAGTGACCAACAATTTAGAAAAAATAAATTAGAAAAACTCCCAGGGACACTGGGATGATTTTGTGGTTTCGGTCATTCCCAGAGGTGATGATTTTTGGGTTCTCCCACTGCTCTTGCAGTGGGCACTCACCATCCTGTTCTAGGCCTGACCCCAAAAACATTTAAGACCTTAACTTTCAAGGCTTCCTTCCAATGAGTACAATAACCTTGACCTCCACACATCAATCCTGGGGATACCTGGAGAACCAGTCAAAGCTTCCTGGAGGAGTTAAGCAGGGCCACAGGGCAACAAAGGAATGGAAGAAAGGAGGCACTTGGAGAGAACGAGGGGTGTTAGTTTCCCCATAACTGAAGTAGGTGCTTTAGGAGACTGCCTCAGTGGTGGCTGAGTGGAGTGGGCTTGATACCCTACTTAGAGCACGGAGACTAGAAGGGAGCTGTGGCAACATCCTCCAGACCTTTCCCCAACTGACCCATCATTCCTTGCTCCCAAACCTTCTCTCACGGTCCCCATCTAACAACTCGCCCAAGTTGTGCACTGGACAATATCCAATATGTTGTCATCCACTACCCAACTACATCCTGCTGCCTCTTTTCCACAGTATACCCTAAGCCCAGAAACCTCCACCAGCACTGGCCAGGGCGTTGACAGCTTCTCTCTTGACATAAGGTACACCAACTCCCCAGCCCCGATTGGGCTTTCACCATCCTGCCAGAGGTAGCCTCTTGGACTCTCCACCTGTGCACCAACTCAAACCCTTTCATCCCAAGAGTTTCTAACTCCAACTTGGCCAATGAAGATCACAAAACTTAAGATGCATTAGCTGGACCCTATTTCTTCAACTGCAAAAGGAAGTAGCTTTTACCACTACCTGGTATTCAGAAAATGTCTTACTTAAGTCTTACTGTTTGGTACCATGTCAATTCTGACTCAGTGACCCTATGTACAGCAGAACACTGACCTATCCTGTCATCCTCACAATTATGGCCCATTGCTACAGCCACTATCAATCTCTCATTGAGGGTCTTCCTTTTCCCTAACCCTGTACACCAAGCACATCCTTCTCTGGAGACTGACCTCCCCTTGTAGTATGTCCAAAACACGAGAAAAGTCTTCATCATCCTCATTTCTAAGCAGCATTCTGGCTATACTTCTTCCTAAACAGCTTTTTACCAACTGGGTATCCCTGCTGGCATATGAATTACAGTGGCATAGCTTCCACCAATTACCAGTATGACAAACTGACAAGTGGTGATCCCATTATGTAACAGAAGACAAATAGCTCTACTCGATTCACTGCCGTTGAGTCGGATCCGACTCATAGCGACCCTTCCTTTGGTTTCCAAGGTGGTATCATTACGGAAGTAGATTGCCCAACCTTCCCTCCAAGCTACCAGAGATCCCACAAATAGCTCAGTGTATGCTATAACAAGGTGACAGAGGTTGACATGTGAATTCAAATCCCCGCCGCACCACTAATCTGTCTCAGTCTCCTCGCAATCAAATCAAACAAGTAATAGAACCAAGAGTTCATATTACATGGATGTAAATACTTCTACCAATTACTCTTCCACTGGTTTGTGCTCAACAGGCAAGCAAGGGCCCCTGTAACCTTGTAAGATACTCGGCTAACTCTGCAGCAGCTGCAAAAGGAAATTCAGAGAACCTCTTCCTGAGGAGCCACCCCTCCCTGAAAAAAGGCCACTTTTGATTCCTTGAAGTCCATCCTACCCCCCAGAAGGAGACACAGGAGGGAGACACAAAACTTAATTTAATAGAAATTCTGCTTGTAGTTCTTACATTCTCAGTATGAGCTGAGCTGGAACCCACTGCCCCATCCAGAAGTGGCCCAGTACTGGGAGCAGGGGAGAAAGGAGGGGCAGAGCTCAGGTCCTAAGAGCCCCATTCTTCCTCAGTGCTGGGGGGCTGGAACACCACCTTTCTCCTGCCCCTCCTATACCCCCCACCCCCTCCACCACCACCCCCGGGGCTCCAGGAAAGAGAACAGATGGAAGCTCAGGCTTGGGCTTCTCCACAACCCCTGCCCTGGGCTGGAGAGTAGGAACCAAGGATTATGGGAGAAAAGAGGACAAAAGTGGAAAAGATGTCAAATAAAGAAAGATCAGAGCCAAGGGTGAGGGCTGAGGGGGAATCAAAGCCAAACCATCAGTTTAAAAAAAAAAGTGGTGGTGGGGAACAAAACCAAAATCCACCCCAAATCTGAACCCGCTTGGAAAAAAATGAAAGTTCTCCAGTCTCATAGAGACATTATTTGGCGCAGCCGGCTCTGCAGCGGGAGCGCTCAGGCCTCAGTCCAGCCCAGAGGCAGGTGGCCTGGCCTCTACAGCTCGTCCTTGGCCTGGCCCACATCCTCCTCCTCCTCTTCCTCCTTGTCCTCTTCGTCCTCGTCCTCCTCATCTTTGTCCTCCTCTTCCTCCTTGTCCTCTGCCTCCTCTTCCTCCTTGCGCTTCTTATCCTCTTCCTCTTCCTTTAGCCTCTGCTCCTCATCCTGCTTGTCCTTCATGAGCTTCTCTGCAGCCTGCAGGCACATACAACATGCTTAGAGCCCAGCCTCTACCCGCTAGCCCTGCCTGCCCTCAAACCCAGGCCTGGGGACAGCCCCACCTTCGTGACACCCCATGTCTCGTTGCCAAATTCCTCAGCATAGGCCTCATCGTTGGTGATGAGAAAGTTGTCGAAGATGGTGCCAGACTTGACCTGCAATGAGTGGAGGAGGGGTGGTCAGAGTGACACAAGAATTACACCTGTGTTCCTGTACACACCACACACTGCCTTAGTCTCTGTGTCTCTCTGTGGAGAACAGCATTGCTCACATTGCAGTTAAACACCGGGAAGGAGACTGCAGGCCACCCTGCCAGACCCAAAATCCCAGCTCTACTATTTCTCACCTCTCTGCCTATTTCCTCATCTGTAAAATTGGGACTCACTCACTTTAGTTATCAAAACCAAAAAACCCAAATCCACTGCCATCAAGTCCATTTTGACTTATCAGCACTCTGCAAGACAGAACTACCCGTAAAGTTTCCAAGGCTGTAAAATCTTTATGGAAGTAGACTGCCTCATCCTTCTCCCGCAGAGTGGCTGATGGGTTCGAACCACCAACCTTTTGGTTAGCAGCCTGATGCTTTACCCCAGTGCCACCGGATCTCCGTACAGTCATCAGGTACCCACTGTAGTACAGGTATCTACTATATGCCAGTAAGGCATGTGACTGCTAACCAAAAGGTTGGCGTTTTGAACCCACCAACCACTCCATGGGAGAAAGATGAAGCAGTCTGGTTCCATAAAGATTTACAGCCTTGGAAGCCTGATGGTGGTCACTATGAGTTGGAATAGACTCAATGGCAGTGGGTTTGATTTTGGTTTTTCTGGTTCTAGGCAAAATATAAAAGACTGAACAAGTGTCCAAACAGTTCAGAACCATAGATGCTAACTTCTAAAAGGGTTAGCTGTCTTCTAAATTAAAGGAAAAAAAAAAAAACAACCTCACTGCCATCGAGTCAATTCTGACTTACAGCAACTCCCTTTGGGTTTCTGAGGTGGTAAATCTTTAAGAAGTAGATTGCCCAGCCTTCCTTCCATGGAGTGGCTGGTAGGTTTAAACCACCAACCTTCTGGTTAGCAGTCAAACCCCTCAAGCACTGCACTATGCCACCAGAACGCCTCTCTTTTAGGTTGGGAAAATTAAATGAGATAATTCATATAAAGTTACTTGAGACAGTACCTGGCACACAGCAAATGCCACACAACAGTGGGAAATACTTCAACAGAGAAACCATCATTTTGGGGTCAGACCTGTCTGAATTTGAATCCTATGACTGTTCTTTCTCTCCTAGGAAAGATCTGTGCCCCTCCCCCTGGGATCCACACTCCCCCAAACTGTGTCTCACCTGCCAGAGATCTAGGCCCAGCACAGCAAAGCTGTCATAAGAGTAGATGTTGGCATCAGGGGAGTACTCAGGGTTGTCGATCTCCGGGTGGACCCATTTGCCTTTATAATCTGGGTTGTCGATCTGCCGGGGTTTCCACTCACCCTGCGAAGGAAGGAACTTGACAGTGGGCAAAGTCCAGTGTCCTACCCACTGTGCCCAGCCCTGCACAGAGCCCCAAGCACACCTTGTATTCAGGATTCTGAATCACGGGTGGTTCCCACTCTCCGTCCATCTCCTCATCCCAATCCTCAGGCTTCTTGGCATCAGGGTCAGGGATGTGCTCAGGCTTGTCCCAGTCCTGGGCATACAGGAGGAGGTCAGAGTTAGTCTGGCTGTCTGTCCTCCACACCTTTCATGGTGGACAGCCCCTGCCGAAGCACCAACCTCAGGCTTGGAGTCTGT